TCCTGCTAGCTCTTCTACTCTTGCTCCATTGCCTTCACCAGCTAGTGAGTATCATTTTCTTCATCCGTCTCTCTGCAGGTTGCTTTCCGCCAGCCAGTTTGTCTGCTTAATACTGTCTTCTTCACCAGATGATAGTTCAGCTCAGGTGGTGCGAAGCCACATCAGGTTTTGGAGAATCAAATAAAAAGAGACACAGACGCAGGGCCTCTCAGCCTTAGGGGAGGCAAGAGAAGAGCATGGCTGTGGATAGGAAACCCCGCAGACAAATCCTGTAAAGCTGCCACAGCCGGCCCTGTCCTCAGGATTCCCAGTGGGCTGGACCAAAGCTGATACTTGGAAAAACCAAAGGAACTTACTAAGAAAAACGTCCACTCTCCAGGTTCATATGAAATGCTTTAAGGTGTTGTACTTTTATCCTTCATTTTAATTGGCACAGTTATACTCCAGTGTTGAAATTAGAGAATAAGACCTATAGCTCTCACTTTATCCATAAATGCATACATGTCTCATAAATATTTGTGGGAAAATATACAGTGTCTGTGTGCAGATGTGCCTGGCAGTAGGCACTTAGGGAAATGGCTTAACCCTTTGCAAGGCGGATTTCCTCTTTCTCTAAAACAGAATGAGCATTCCACGCATTCCCTTTAGAGCACAGCAGACCTGACAGCTCTCATCAAGACTGTCTTGGCTGCCCACCAGTGACCCAGTAGGGCCGGTGACTGGTCAGTGCAGGCTTTGTCATCGTGGCTGCCCTGGCTCAGGGCCAACTGTTTCATTTGGCAGCTGTGGTCCTCTGGTAGAGCAGAGCGTACCAGGCCTGCTGCTCTCTGGAGAGTTGAACCTAGCTTTCTAGACAAAAGAAGACAGACAGCTGCTGAGCAAGTGCAGGATGCAACCCCCGACCTGGCTCAGAGCAGCAGGAGCAGCGAGGGTGCAGGCAGGAGAGCCCTGCTGGTTGGCTGCAGCCTTCCTTGGCCCTCAGGAGCCTTTAGGGTAGAGGCTATGCCCCCAGAGGAGACTCAAAGCCCACACCCAAGAGCCACCTCTAGCATCCCTTGGACTCAGCAGTGTGCCTGCCACCTCCCACACACCACTCCAGCACCGGAGTTCAGCTTTGGAACCAGGCTGAGCTGGGTCCAGGCCCAGCTCTGCACCTTCTGCCTGCAGCTCCATGACCTCGGAGGAGGCCCTCAGCTTGTCGGAGTCTCAGATTTCTCATCTCTAAAATTAAGGACAGAGTACACTTCCTTTTAGATGTTCATTAAAATCAGAAATGAAACATTTAAAAAATGCAAAACACAGTGCCTAGTGTATAGCAGCTGGGATAAATAGAAAAAAATGGTTATGTTATTTCCTGCTGCATGAGAGTCATTCGTTGGCAAAATCCTTGTGTAATGTTTCTAAATATTTATATTAATACTGATACACCAGGGAAAAAAAACCTTCATCTTCTCTTTTCTTTATGATGTTACCTATATTTAAGTAGATGCGCAAACAGAGGTAATAATATATGTAACTGGGAGTTTAGCTGCATTCTCTCCTTCACCTTGACGTGCCCCTTCTGTCCTTCGTGTTTCCATAGCAACCTGGCCTTTAACTGCCCGTACAGCCACAGAACTGGCTAGTGAGTACCCAGTCGAGCTGCTCTCAGCCCCACCCCTGATTGCTACTTGCTGTCCACCCGACTTCAGGGTGACAGCGCTGCCTGCTGTTTCTCTTTTTCTTAACAGTAACAGTCGTGAATGCATGGGGGCTCCTAACCTAGAATGGTTTCCTAAGCATGCTGTTTGGCCAGGAGAGCAAACCAAGCATCCCCCAAAGTAAGGGGGTAATTATTCAGAGAATACTCTGAATAAGAAGGCCTTTTCAAATTGACTTTCACGTTAAAAATAGCAAAGGAGGGCCAGCGAGATAGCTCAGCAGACTAAGCACTCGCTTAGGCAAGCGCAGGGACCGGATTTGATCCCAGGCACCACACACCCTGCCAGCCCCACCCCTGGGCTCACTGGGCCAGCCAGCAAGACCGTAGCGGCGCACACCTCTGATCCCAGTGCTGGAGAGACTGGAAACAGGAGGATCACTGCTAGTCTGAGCTGCATATTGAGACCCTGTACCAAATACATTTAAAAAAAAAAATCAAAGGATCAGGGGAATGCTAAGCAGACAAAGAACAGCAGCTCCTTTTCAGCCATCCCTCCTCTGAAACATGCATGCGTGCACTCACTCACGCACATGTACTCCACGAGGGTGTTACAGCAGGACCAAGAGCAAGGGAAAGAGCAGGAGGAAATGGCTGCCTAGGGGAAGTGGAGGGTGTGCAGGGAAGGCGGGCGCCTGCCTCCTGGTGCTTGCCTGCCTTTGTCTTGCCATGCACAGAGCACAAACGTGCAGAAGGCTGAGCTGCTGCCATCCCCTCAGGATTCTTCCTCTGTGCTAAAAAAATGATGGACCAAAGAAACCTAAGCCAGACTCTTTCTCCCTGAGTTGAAAGTCGAAATGATGGCGCTGGAATTCAATTCTTGATAATAGAGTCAAATATCAGATTGCTTTTGCCATGATGTAAGATCCGGTGCTGAATCACCACTGGGGCAGTTTCCAAGCTGGCCTGTACGATGCTCCTGCAAAGTACCACGTGTGCTGAGGTCGTCAGGCCCCCCAGCTAAGCAGCAGGAGTGTGCGTGCATGCTTGCTGTGCTTTGCTGTGCACCAGAGTTTGCGAGGGGCTCAGATTTCATATTTCTGGATGTGCAGAAAAAAACAATACACATCCCATCACGCAGTAATCAGGGTAGGAAGGCAGAACGCAGATATGGAAAATATAGCTCCCACTTCCTGGGCCAAGTCTTCTGAGCCATAATGAAACAGAGAAGGGAAGTTTCCTGGTTTCACTGTATTGATTGCATGAAATGGTTCTTTTTATCCTGAAGAACACAGCTAACAGTCTGCTTTCTTGGTGGGGTGTGTGTGTGTGTGTGTGTGTGTGTGTGTGTGCTGTGATGAATTTTAATTCCGATGCTTTTGAGGTTACATTTTGTCAGCAGAACCCATGACGATGAGCTGTGCTCACATAGGCTTAATTTGAATGATGCACTTTTTTGTTTGTTTGTTTGTTTTGTGCGGGGTTTTTGTTTTGTTTTTGCACTTGGAAAAGGAATGCAGCTAACAACTCCCTTTCTTGTACAGTGTCCCTCTGGTCCTTTTTTCAGGTTGGTGCAGTGAGTGCCTCTACACAGTAAGAGAAAGCTAAAGATGCATCCACCCAGCTGTGTGATGTGTAAGGTTTCTCCCCATAACTTGGTCTGCCATGTCAGTGAAACACAATCTTGGTTGCAGATTTTTCATGAAGGAGGAATGAAGTGTTTCTTTCCTGATATGTGTTTCATTTTTTAATCTCAGACCTTTCTGCCCACAGATAAATGCTTAGTTGTGACATCCAAAAGAAGAAAGTTTCAGTCTGCTTTATTATTGAGCTACTTACCTACTGACCAGATTGTCAGTCGATGCTGAAATAAGGGAGAGGCATGTCACAGTTGGGCAGCAACCTGTATTTTACATGAACATACTCTAGTAAATGGGAACTGCACTGGGACTAATAACAAAATAGCTATGAGCATGCAGAAGTACATCAGCTATCAGTTAGTGGAGCTGAAAATAAACACATCTCCTCCTAGTTGTGCATGTGTTTGCTAGTCTATTTTTGAGTGAATACAGGTATTCTAAAGAAAATCAGAAGAGAAACTGTTTAAACCCGTGTCAAGTCAGGCAATCAGAAGCACACATCCTGTTCACTCAAAGTGGCAAGAGAATATGTCACTTGGCTAAAGCATTTCTAATTGTTTTTAATCAGCAGGTTTCTTTGGATAGAAAGGTATCTTAATCTCTCTTCTTAGCCTCAGTTGGCCAGACCTGTAATTTCCCAGGTCTATGAAAATTACAGTGGGAAACCCCAAAATGAATTTTAAGAAGTCAGTATCATTCAGTCCCAAATTGGAAGGCAGAACACAACGTGGGACCAGTAGACGAGTAGATGAATCCAAACAAGGAATTTTTTTTTTACATTGTAAATCTCAAAGCCATTCCTTATCAGTGCAGCCATGTGCTGGAGATATAACTTCATCCAGTGAAGCATCTGTTTAATGTTAGACTCTCAGCTCGGGGCCAGCAGTTCGGTGTCTGCAGTTTAGTGGCAACAGAGCCATTGTCTCAACAGACAGAATGGAAACCATTCCCAAACTGCATTGGCTTTGTCCTGTGTGTGCGTCCTGACTTTGGGGAGTGAGGGTATTGCAGACATGCAAATGAGGAAGGAGGGTAAGAACTTCAAGGCCCCCATCTCTGGCTTGCTCCCATCTATCCCCGGCTCGCTCTTCTCTGCCCTTGTTTCACAGTAGAAACATAAATTGCCTTTTGGTAATTTAATACAATCTTCCTTTTCCAGGGCTCAGAGTCTATGCCTAAATAATCTCGGGACCTTTCCTTGGTTGCTCATGACCTGTGTCATTGCCCTCACTTCCCAGGGGTGCTGAGACATTTCTGGAATCTATGAATAATGACTTTTACCTTTTTTCTTTTCCTTTAACAGTCTCCTGGATTGAGCTTGACATCTGGGTCCTGACAGAAACACCTCCCCATTTTCAAACAAGTGTTCATGCTCCTTGATCTGATATTAATATGCAGTGTTGCAGCTATACCTAATGCTTATTGGTGTTGTTAACCAAATGCTCTTTATGATTTATTATTCTTCTATTTCCGGGCAGTGTGACTGTCCTCCCAATGTTTCTTATAGATGCTGCTAATTTAATTTGGTTTCTTCTTTTATTTAGTCTGTGATTTTGTTGTTGATTTTTCTCCCTGCCCATTGTTTACATCAGTTTTTAATTTTTTGTATCTTCCATGTGACCTCCTCCACTTTCCTTTCAACCAATCATGTGCGTGCGTATCATGTGACTTTGTCATGTGGCTTGCATGGTGCTGATGATGTCGTCCACGCTGGTGAACAGAAGGTAAAACTCTTTGTTCTGATTAGTGAAATAAATCCGGAACCCCAGCCTGGCACCTAGAGCTTCCTGATTTCCATCTTGTCTCAGATTTTCTAAGTGATTTGAGAGATTTCCTCAGGTTCTCAATTCACATCCGAATTCGCCATTCCTTGCAACCTTGGCATGGCAATTTGATGACATGACAGGCTTTGGTTTAATATTTTGCTTCAAGAAATTTGATCAGACCAGCTGCTCTCTATAGTAAGACCATGTTAGCTAACAACACAATTTTCAAATTTGAATTTTTACCAGAATTATTCAAATTTATTCCCCAGAAACATGCTTTGTAAATTAGCCTATTAGCATTGCTATTTAACATTATATCCAATAGTTTTATAAACTACACTTGTTCTAAAATGAACCACAATACCACAAAAATGTTGGCAACCTTGAAATTTTACAGAAAGACGTAACTATTGTGAAGGTTGTATTTGTCCAGAACCAATAGAATTTCATCAAATTCATGTAAATTGAGAACTTTTGGAAATAAGAATTTGGATTAGAGCAGTTTGGCTGTGATTACTGAGGTGTCACTTTTCAAGAGTGACCCTCCCCCAGGCAGGGGGAAGAAACCAAGCAAAAGTCACTTGGCAATTACCATGACTAGAGATCTCCAAGTAATCAAGAAGCACATGATTGACCCTTGCAGCAAAGGAAATAAAATTATAGCCTAATTAAATGCATAGCAGTGACAAAATAATTAGTTAATACTGCGCCTGTCACAACCTTGTTAAAACATTTCTCACCAGAAAGGGAGAGAAAGGAGGCCTCTGCTCATGGCTTCCCCACTAAATCCAACACCTATTCAGAACCTGCCCTGGGAGTCAAACGCATTCTGTTCTCGCCTAACTGAAAAGTTTTACTTCCGGCATAGCCTGAGACACATACGGGCTGCACTGATCACCAGATCCAAACTAACATCAGTAACTGTCCAGCGTGCCCGTGCATGCAAGGGGCTCTCCACTGATCTCATTTCTCTGAGGACTGATTGGGCGACACGGTCAAAACCGTCAACAGCTTGTCTTGCACGTTCTTTGTTCCTGGTCTGTGGTGTGTCATGCTCCCCCATGTCTTGGCCCCGTGTACGTTCCCTCACCTTCACTCTCCATATCCCGTCTCGGGGACTCCTTCCTTGTGTACGTGGCAGCTTTGACCTCTGTTAGTCCCATTTACAGCCAGAATCCTGGATTTCTGTAGGAGCCATCCCTGTTTCTACAAAGGATGTGTCTGATATTTACATCGTATGAAATAAAGTGGGACCATCTCCAAAAAAATAAAAAAGGATGTGTGGTGCAGCCCACGGTAGATTTGGACCAACTTTAAATGCGATCTTGATGTCAGTCTCGGGGGTAAAGGTATTGGGACTCTAAGATTTTATAAACTTGAGTTCCATACAAAGTATTACAATTTTAGTGCTTCCCTAAATTGGCCACCAGAAAGAGCAGACATCTTTCAGACTGCGGTTGACTGCTCAGTAGCTTATAATCTGGAAAAATGTCTAGCTCTTCCCCATGAAATACTAAGTGTGTGAGCATATGTTGGATGTAGGATTTGAAACTCATTAGCTTATTGTTTTAAAACACCTTTGGCCATTTTTGTGTCGTGATATAATTCATGGTGAAGCAAAGCATGATGTTAACAAGTAGAAACTAGTCCACTCCTCTGAAGAAAAGAGTTTTTTAGACATTTAATCATGGCCAGAATGGTTGAAGATGTGTCCTGCAGTTGCTCCAGAAACCTGCCTTAGCTGTGATCTTGACCATCAGCGAAAACTGTAGCCAGTACTTTAAAAAACTTACTGGCAGCCTTAAGGGATCCCAGTGCTATAGGCACCCCCTCATCAACAGTATCCCCATCCGTGACAGCCACTCTCCTGTCATCGCAAGGGGCAGACTGAGGACTTGTTATTCAGGTGAGCTACCAGCAGTGGGAAGTGGCCTTTAGAAACAAAATCTAAGAGGATGGAGAGGTCGGAGCAAAGAACATTTACAGAGGTGGGATACAAAGCTTAGTTAAGGACAGGGTCCTTTTCCTGAGCACTACTAAGAGCTTCAGGAGAATGAGACCTGAATCCCAAAGGACTGCATGAGCTGGGAGTGCAAAGGGGAGTCATCCACCCTATGATTAATGGATCCCATGCTTCCTGGCCACCCGCTGTCCTCTTCTCCCTCCAGATTTCCTGAGCCTCACTTACCGTATGCTGACTGCTCTGCTCACCCACCCTAAGAGTAGCTGAGGGGTGTTCACTGGGTCCAGCAGCCCTGAAAGAAAGAGCAGAGCATTGACAATGGGGGCCAAGCACCATCCTGCATGGTCCGTGGTTCAGAACATGCAGAGCTTCACGTGAAGAGGGCCAGGACAGAGAAGCTGAGCTACCTGTCCAGCATGGCAGGCTGAGCTTGCTAGGGGGAAGTGTAGTACTCGCACACACCAAAGCGCGTTCTTAACGTGGCCTTGTGTAGCTGCAGGATTTCTGATGACTCCGCAGAGCCATGGTTTGGTCCACCATCTGTTGAGGACCCTGTAAATGGGACGCCCCCACCTCCCTACCAGTACGTGTGTGATGAGAAGTCCCCTGGACCCCTTCTGTCATGACGCCGCATGTTTGAGCATGGCTTCCTCCCCACGCATTCGTAATGACCTCTTTTTTTTCTTTAGCTACTGACAATGACTTGTACTAGGAAGTGCTGATTCTGATGAACTAAACTCTTTTAACACCCACTCTTCCTTCTTAGATTGAAAACATCACTAACCACTCCTTCCACGCCCTCCCTTATTTTTTTACAGCTGTGTGTCTGGATGTCCATGATCTCTGACAGGTCAACAGAGAGTTTTCACCAGGGTCTCTGTTTTAATTGCCTTTATTTCTAAGGGTTTCCCTCACTGGCGGCTCCCAGGGTAGAAAGCTAGGGGGAAGGGTCTGAAGAAGGACGTAGTAGTGATGTGTGTCAGCCTGAATTCTGTGGACAGGGCCCGAGGGAGGGGTGCTGCTGGTTTTGGAAACTTCCAGTTCACCTAGGGTTCCCAGCATAAAGGTGGAAACATCCCTGGAAGCTCATTTTTCTCCATAACCAATCTAGAGTCCACGAAATAGTGTGGAAGATGTACACCAATCCCCTTTGTGGCCGTGGAGGCAGGAGCGAGTTAATTGTTGGTTATAGTTATTTCTGTCCTAACTTCCTCGGGCTGGATCAGCCCCATAACCACAAGCCATACCTTCATGGTCATATTTTCTTTTTAGGATGATGAAACAAAGATAATTGATCAATTAATCTGTTGGTGTTTTCATGACACCCACGAGAAGGGACTCGGTATTTTCTGTGGTTCTTTCTGTCGGAGCTCATTTGATGCTATTTAATTTGTGCTTTGCGCTGCCATTTGCCACCCAGCCCCCAACACGCCATCATGATTCCTAAGAAAGCTGCTGCTGGAAACAGTTTATGGACCAGGTGCCTGAGAAAGCTTGGGCCCAGAGAGATTTCTCTGAAAAACCTGGGAAACACACCGACTCATTTTATGCACCAGTGCTCCCTAGAGGCAGTATGGAAAAGAGTCAGGTCGCTCACATAAGCACATCCTTAACTCTGGAAAGGAAAAAGAACACTGACTCTAGAGGCCTGATTTGGAGGGGATTAAAGGCTGAAGGCAAATTGACACCCATCGTTAACATTGTCAAGTTGTTCTTTGGGACTGTCAGCAAGTCTGACAGGGTACCAAAAGGCACCGGGGAGAATTAGAAGAATCTGAGTGTACGCAGCATAAATCACGTTAGATGCATTTGTTTGACATGTAGAGAGCTAAGAGCCCTGTTCCAAGAAGGAGAATTAGTGGCCTAATAACTCTAATCCGGATTCCCTAAGGCAATTTGCTGAACCCCTAAAGACCTGTCAATAACCTCCTGATGGAACTGTAATTTTCTGAGTTGGGAAAAAAGCAGGAAGCTTCATATCTGAATGGCTAGGTCACACATTTGAACTTTAAAAACTCAACAAAAAAGATATATACAAGTTTCAAATTAGCTCAAAGAAATAGCGAACTAAAGGACACAGGAGTTAGGAGAAACAAAAGGAACAGTGGTGTGGGCCCCCGGCAATGCTATTTGTTAGTAAAAATGGAAGTGTAATGTAAGCCCAGCATTCACGAGCAGTCCACAGTCAGACCTCAAAGCTGAATTCCTGTGGGAAAAGAAAGCAGAAGAGCAGACGATGGAGACTGAGCCTCTTGCAAGGGACGGCTGCTCGGCACCCAGCACTCGGCACGGTGCAGAGCTCTGGGCACTTGGACTTCTTTGAGTGAGAAGTAGAAAGCTGTTTTTCTTCTAAAATTCACAAATGCTTCCCAGTGCCCTGGACTTGCAGTCATTTTTGTCTTGGCATTCTTTTTTTTTTTTTTTTGTTTTTTAGGGAAGGGCCTACAGGGTGTTCAGGGTCTCACTACTAGATCGGACTCATAGTGATCCGCCTGTTTACAGCCTCCCAAGAGCTGAGATTACAGGCGCACGCCACCGCACGCAGTCTCAATTGCCATCTCAGCGCACCCTGGAGGTGGTGCCAGCACAGCAGGCCCAGGGATTGAACCCCCGGCCCCTGAGACTCCTTGCAGGCGCTTTAATCCGCTGAGCTATTTGGCTGGCCCTTGTCCTGGCATTCTTATAGGCAGCAGTGGTTTCTAACCCCAGAGCCCCTGCTGATGAGACGAGGACCACGCAGCCAACTGAGAATAAAGGGCAGCGAAGTCCAGCAATTACCAAGGAAAAAAACCTACGCTCTCCATGGCCAGAAACATGTGCTTCAATTATGGCTTCTAAGGAAGAATTTCATTATGTATCTATCTGAGAATATTGGGGGGGAGGGTTGCATTCATGATTTACATGCTGCTAGGAAAACACCAGAACTGCCTGATATTGCTTATTTATTATCGGTAAGGTTAATTTTTAAGGCACTGTTGCTTTCATCTCTACATAAAATATTTGGGGGGGGGAAATTGAGTCGTAGCTGAAGCTAAGCTCACAGGGTGTAATTAACCCCAGGGGTCTTCTTGGAGCAACCTGCCTATTGCTGCTGAGTGGCAAACCAGCATTTACAAATAATTACAATATTGGTTTTGCTGAAATTGCCCATAATGATTTCAATCACAAAAGCCACCCCAGAACCTTGGGGCCCTGTGAATCATTTCCTCGGCTAATATGTTCAATTAAGCAGCAAGCATCCTGAATCCGGAGCCCTGGTTCCTTCTACAGAGCCCCTTTCCTTGTCCAGCATGGCTTTGCACAGAGAGCAGAGGAGAAGTTTTTAACTCCACTTTCAATTTTAAAAAAAGCTCACCATCAACATTTGAAGATGAATAAGACAATTGATTACATAATGCCTCCTTCCAAACCTGAGCATACTCACAGGTTATAAAAAAACAAGTTGATCAAAATCTCTGTGATTTTAGTTGAAAATGATATTCCTGTAGAAGTACTGTAATAGGAAAGATTGTATTTCTATCCAAGGACATCAGGTTTTTGTTTTGTTTTGCAGTACTGAGAATTGAGCTCAGGACCTTGCGCTTGCCAGGCAGGTACTTATTCTACTGAGCTATCTCCCCAGCCCAGACATCGGTATTTTTAAGAATTACTATAACTAAATTTTTCATTTGGCTAGAAAACCATATCTCATTCTCTTGAGGCTATTTAGTACCTAGTAGACATTCAGTACATACATCTGTTGATTAAATAATGGACAAACTATTTAAGATGATATATTGAATTGTGATATAGTGATATATTGAATATAATATTTATATTTGAATGATATAAAATACTCTAAATTGTATAATAAATAATATCAGATAGTCATTCAGGTAAGATAATAAATTATAGCTTTTTTAACTATGGTCAATGTTAGAACTACGTCATCACTATGATACAATTTTCAGAGCTTATCATTGTGTGTGATTCTCTGAAATAAACCCAGAAATAAAAGATTGCCTCTATCAGGGCTATTTAGTCCTTTAAAGATTGCCTGGAAAGATTATTGTTCATAAGGCTTTGCAGAGACTTGGGAGTCCCTTTTTCAATACAGGACATTTTAGGAAAACTTTTCAAAATAATAAAGCAAAACATTGACAACTCTCTACCTTGGAGATACAGCCTTGTTGATCTTAGAGTGCATCTCTCTGAAATTGGCTGAAGTCATACATCATGCCTGCAGGGCTTCACAATAGCATGGAAAGAGCTGGGGTATAGTAGATCCCCTCCAGTACAATGGCTGTCACTATGCTGCCCGGAAGGCAGACCCACAAGGAGCCCCAAGGAGCTCTGGATCCAGCACCCATGTGTTGCAAGCGTAGATACTAAGTGTGTGGCTGAGGAACCAGCCACCCTACGAAGGAGAATTCAGGCAAGATGTTCTGTGGCACTGATTCAGCCTGGGAAACCTACACTGCTCCATGCTGAGAGAAAACAGTAAGGAGGATAAAGCAAAGCACCCAGTGGCTTCTTTCATGTGCTCCTGAGGAGGCTCCTGGGTTCCCAGCCTGGTGGGTATGCTGGAAGCGCCGCCCACGCTGCCTTCTTTGCTAAAGCAAGTACACCATTGGCACACAGTCCACACTGTGAATCCCATTGCAGAAAGCTGTCATGATTAATGTCCATTTCCCTTTGATGCTATGGTCGCCAGCCATTTCAATTTAAGCTTCCAATGATAAATTCTCAAATATACCAGACTCTCTGCGAAGAGTTGGTTACCCTAATTCAGGCAGGGAATCAAATTTATCAAGTTGTATTGGGTCTTGCTCTTCTAGTCATTCATCAATGATGAATTTACCCCCAGACTTCATGGTCTGCTCTGAAGCAGAATATACTGAGTTTTCAGCACTGGACCTTTATAATGTAGATGTCACAGAAGCATTCCTCAAGATCTAGAAAACCCTACATACCTGCCATATCTAAACTACAGTTCTAAATGTCTTCCACTTCATAGTTGGGGTCAGTGGCTCAACAGTGATCTAAAATCAGGACAAGACCTTGCCTGCAACCCACTTATCACTGTATTCTTAGTTTTTTTTTTCTTTAATTACTGGTTGAAGAAAACAAATAAGAAAGATAGGGCTGACCAGATAGCTCAGTGGATTAAAGCACTTGCTTAGGCAAATGCAGGGGCCAGGGTTCAATCCCTAGCATGCTGTGCCAGCTCTGCCCCCCAGGGCACCCTGAGAAGGCGATTAAGACTGGGCGTGGTAGGACACGCCTATAATGCCAGGACTTGGGAGGCTGAAAACAGGAGGACCACTATGAGTCCAATCTGTGTAGTGAGACCCTGTACTAAATACAAAAAGAAAAAAAGAAACATAGCTTTTCCACAGGATATCCCTCAGACATCAAGATTATAGATTCTTTGGACAGCCAAATAGCTCAGCAGATTAAAGCACCTGCAAGCAGGCTCAGGGGCCAGGGGTTCAATCCCCAGGCCTGCTGTGCTGGCCCCACCCCCAGGGTACACTGAGATGGCAATTGAGACTGGGCATGGTGGCACACTCCTGTAATCCCAGATCTTGGGAGGCTGTAAACAGTCAGATCACTACAAATCCAATCTAGTAGTGAGACCCTAAACACCCTGTAGACCTTTCCCTAAAAATACAAAAAAAAAAGATTATAGATTCTCCTTGTTGCAGTGGTATATGTGCTTCTGTTACTACCATTTCTCAAACCTAAATGTGCCCAGAGATTACCAATGAGCCGTCACTGGGAGAGTGCATTTGTGACCAGTGCCAGATGAACTACATGCCGCTGTGTGATAAGTAGGGGCTCTGTGCTAGCTTTCCCTCCCTGATTCCTCTTGTATCAAAAGGAAGAGCTTCCCAAAGTGATTCAACAAAGAGGCCAAGCTAGGGGCCAGGGAGATAGCTCAGTAGGATAAGCCCGTGCCTGGCAAGTGCAGGGTCCTGAGTTCAATCCCCAGTACCAAAAAAAAAAAAAAAAAGGCCAAGCTAGATACTATCTTTGCCAGCCACAGAGTTCTTGGGGCCACAGCCTGGTGGCAAGCCTTTTCCTGACTCTTCTGTCACATGGCTGCCATTCTGTTGCACAGAGCACCCCAGGGTGACCACCCCCCAAGGTAACTATTGTATGGTCTCCCTAAGTTTTCTCTGTGATCAGCAAGTAGAAAGCAGGTGTAGCTCATCCTCCTAAGTCCAGGATTCCACGTGTTTCTGGAATCTTAATTTCACTCTTCACATCAGAAATTCTCTCACCTCATTCCTTTCAGCATAGACTAATGAAACAGTTTCTCATACAGTAAACCAGCATCTCACTTCCACCCCTTGCAGTTAGCCACATCCAAGTTTATCTTCCTAATCAAGCTGGGATTCACAGTGTTACAGTCTTAGTGAACTTACACTGCACAGAAGAAAAAGAAAATGACCTTTTTCTGCATTGGGTTGAGAAATGTTAAAGCCATTTGTTCCTTCTCCTCTCACAAAGAGAAAGACTCTAATGACTGTTGCTCTAATTCATTAAAGTGGCAAGGATTATCACTCATTCAGTCAAACCACAAACACAATGTACTTACAGGAAAGTTGCCTGTGGCCATTTCTGTTTTATTTAACCACAATTGGAAACTTATTTTTTTTAATGATCCTGAGCAATAAAATTTAATTCCTGCAAATCCAGTTACAAGAAAGCAGCACCATTCACTCCCACCAGGGATCAGACCCTCAGGCCCTTGGGGTGAGCACTGTGCCAGGGCAAAAGAACTGGGAAAATAATTCTATGGATACGATTTACTCCAAGACTTACATTTTTCCATATTACAGGCTGCCCATCAACGTCAGCTTTATAAGAATTAACTCTGTAGTTGTGAGAGTAGCAGAAAGGAAAAAGAGATAGAAAAAGTCTTTACTGAAATGGAAAAAGGACTTTGCTAATAGGGACAGTGTTTCCCACAAAGCCCCATAATGACACTCTCCTCTTGAGCTAGGACTGGTACAGCTAAGTGGAATGGGACATCCCGTATTCATTGCATCTGAGTTTCTGAAAAAGCAAGAGAATTGCTCAGGCTCACCCCACCACTGCGTCCCGTGCTGGTGGATGCTGTCACCATTCTGTGGCCTGAAGTTTCACGTGTGTTCACTGGCTGTTTCAGGGGAGCCCAGTGCGCCTAAGCTGGAAGGGCAGATGGGAGAAGACGGGAACTCCATTAAGGTGAACTTGATCAAACAGGACGACGGTGGCTCCCCCATCAGACACTATCTGGTGAAGTACCGGGCGGTGAGTGGCCTCCTTCCTTGACCCCACCCTAGATCTTGTCACCCTGACGCGCCTTGGCAGGGCAAGAGCATTCAAGTCCTAGGTGGGACGGGGGTGTGAGACTCGGGGACCTTGGCCAGGATTTTAAAATCCCATTGCTGACATTCAAGTCTTAGCCCATGTCCACACTGGAAGCATGGAAAGATTTCCAGAATGGCTGGCTTCATGGCAAACTAACGTCACAGTTGATTTTTCTGATTCTTACAGCCAGCGCTCAGTGCCTGGCACTCTCATGGTTCAGCGAGACAGAGATAGTGTGCAGGACTGCCCGAAGAGCCCGGGCTCCTGGCATTTGCCCAAGGCTGCTTCAGATCCTGGCGCAGTGCCGATTCCAGCCCCTGCCCGTGGCCTCTGCCCCTGAGCTGCTCTACTTTGGCCAAGGGTGACTGTGGCTCTGTTGCTTCTCCCAGCCTACTCACCTCCCACCTAAGCTCTCTGTCATTTCCACTGTCATCCCAGCGCCCAGACAGGACCCCTCCTCTTGTGGTTTTCAGATGACACCTGTTTGTGGCCAGCCACAAGCAGTTGCCAAAAGATGTAGTGCACATCTGGACCTCAGGAATGCCCTGTTTCAGGGATTTATTTATGGTGAAAAATACCAAACCAGAGTAGTTTCCTTTCTTCGGTTAATGCAGAATAAGGTGTTATCTGGAAGTTTGCTCCTTTCTGTGAGCCCTGTGAGAGATGAGGACCTTTACCTGCTGACCCTGCTGGAGAGCGCCCTGTGGACACTCATCCAAGGAACAGGGCCATCCATCCCCTCAGCCCTCCCTCCTACCTCATTTCTAAGCCAGCTTTGAGCTGGCAGAGTAGGAACTCTATCCTGGAGATACCACTGAATGACAGGTCCCCGTGACTTCTCACCACAGAGAAGGATGCTAGGACTGGCAGAGGGCCTGCACATGCCACTGGAAGCAGTTGGTGTTGTAGGAGGGAATGCCTTGGGCTTCTGTTACACTAATATGCCCAATAGGGAGAACATGGGCTTCAGAGTCAGTCACGCATGGCATCAGCTTCTAACCTTACCGCTCATCAGTGTATGAACTGAATAGTTCACCCAGTACTCCAAGACCTCCATTTCTTCATTTATGAAATAGGCATAAGCTTACTTAGCATGTCATTGTAAAGATTTCTCATAATATATGCAAAGAAATTCAGGTATGTCAGATGCTTAGGAGTCTCTATAAATCTAACTAATGTTAGTCCTGAGATGCAGGCTCCAGTTCACATCACCTCCCACGGAGGCCTTCTCCATGTCAGTTGGCTTAAACAGCCCTTGTGACTGCAGTGATCACTGGAGCAGATTGTTAAGATATTTTAGACATATTTCAACAACCTTGACTGTCCTTTCTCACTCACTCAAAACTTAATATTTGCTAAATATCATCATGTATTAATATGTGTTGCATAACACAATGTTTACTTTATTGACTAGTTGCTTTCTAGGCTAGTTTTCTCTTTTATAATGATGTTTGCTAACAGATAAAGAGTAAAGGCGGCGTAATTTTTTTGCTTGCTATTATAATGGAGGCCCATACTGACATATGCAAACTAACAGACAGCACAGCTCCTGCTGCCTGAAGTGACTCTGAGAAACTAGAATGCACCTATTCGCATTTTCCTGTAGTCCCAGGCCCTGGAACAAGCATTATTGCATTCTTAAGGGCATCTTGTTAGCTGGTACAAACCAGTGTGCCCGACTAACAAAGACCCCTGTGCTGCCAGACAGCTTCCAGCCTCAGCCTTGGGCCTGTGGTGGTCGCCAGACACCGCGGCCAAGCACCCTGCCACCCAGTAAGCGTTCGTCATACCCTGCTGTGTGCCCAGCATACACCTTGGGGCTTAGGCCTGGTGGAAAAGCCAGAGCTTGTGAAGGAGTGAGCTGCAGAGGTGTGAAATCATTGGAAACCTTCTTCTCCCATAACTGTTTTGTGGAGAGGGTAATCACTAACGACGCTTTTGTAAACTCCTGTTTGGAAGGTCCTCGGCGCAGACTCACTGGGGCCGGGCAGCCTCTAATGAGAGAGAGTATTAGATGGAAAAGAGCGGGTCCCAGAGCGCTGGTTTCAGACCTGTGGTTGTGGCCAGGAGAGCACATGAGCCTCTGCATGGGGCACTCCCTGTGGGTCCTATGAGCATCCCAAGGCTGGGCCTGGTAGCAGAACCCCATAATCAGCTGTAGTTGTAGAGACCACGTCACATGCATGAACAGAAAGCCTCATTCAGCCCAGCAGGTTTGCATAGCTTCTTTCCAAGAAAGCAAAGAGTGGCTTCGAGCCAACAGACTTGACTTTCATCATCACTGAAAGGAGACTGTGAGAAGTCACCTAACCTCTCTCTCTCTCTCATATTCCTGTCATTAGACTTAGCAAGACCCCAGCAAAACCTCCTGCCAGTTTTTACAGAGACACAATAAGAAAATGTGTGGATGGCTGTTAGTACAGTACCTGGCGCAGTGTAGGGGCATGATAAGTGAGAGATTTATTTTTAGTATAATTGGAATCTATGCAGCATTTACTTTTCAGAAAGGTGAATCACAGCTGAACAAGGGCAGCATTCTAAGATATGATTGCACGTGTGTGTTTTTACCCTTCTAGGAAGTCCTCAGGATTCCAGAGTTTAGCCCGAGGCTGGGAGAGGGCAGTACTTGAGCCTCTGCATACCCTGAAGGTGGCATGGACGATGCCCCTTCAGTGTCTGCTGTTGTTGGCATTTGCAGACATGCAGAGGCGATCTGATCTGTGTAATCCCGGGGATGTTTCAGGCTCATAAAATAAAAGACCATGTACGATCATCGCTTCTTACTTTTTAAAATATTACACCAGTAGTTTTTTCCTCCCCCAAGTTTTACCTAGAGCACGACCCAGCTGCAGTTTCATTAAAGCTTTCCGGTGTCATGTGTCTTTCCCTCTGATTCCTCCCAAAAGCTCTCCTCCGATTGGAAACCAGAGATCAGGCTCCCGTCTGGCAGTGACCATGTCATGCTCAAGTCGCTGGACTGGAACGCCGAGTACGAAGTCTCCGTGGTGGCTGAGAACCAGCAAGGAAAATCCAAGCCGGCTCATTTCATGTTCAAGACCTCAGCCCAGCCCACAGCCATCCCAGGTACAGCTGCCTCTGCTTTCTGTTAGTTTCCTGCTTTAAATTAATGCACAAATGCTGCACCTCCTAATGCGCCTGAACAACCCTGACAACTCGCTTGCTTACAGCCATCTCATGACTGGTTGACCATGCAAAGCTTAGTTTTGCCTTGTACCTCTCTGTGCAGTAGGTTGAGATGTACTGGACCCCCAGGAAGGCATGACCAAGCATCCTGGGGAAAAGGTCCTCTCTCCTCTGGCCTTACACAACTGATGCTAACCAGTCCATGGGACTCTGAGATGGAAAATGGCCCAGCTCCTGCCTTGCCTTGGACGCTGGTTGAGAAAGGATCCTTTATGAGACCTTATCTGCCATCTACCATTTCATACCAGGACCGTGCAGCCCTCTTGTGCGCTTTCTATTGGATGCTTGCTCTATGTGCACAAGCATGGTCCAGATCTCTTCTCAGGGGGACCCCAGAGAAGAAGAGATGGTGCCCAGTTAGTTATAAGCTGTGTCTGTCAAGAGCCTCTCCACTGACACAGACGTTAAACTGAACCTCTCAGCATGGCACAAGTGGAGAAGACGGACGCTGGGAAGCACCATCGACAAAAGGCAGATAGTCTGCTAGAAACTTTGGTGGCAGCAGAGCGCTTAGGAGATGCAGATCCGTCTCTAGGGATCCAGGACCAACTCAAGTTTGGGAATAAAGTGAGAGTGCTGCTTTCTAGCCCAGCCACCTTGGTCTGATGGCTGATCCCCTCCTTGGCCAAATCACTCTTGAGTAGAAAGAGATCACTTTGTGTCTCCAGGCCAGGTGAATGTCAGCCACAGGCAGGAGAGAGGGGCACAGAACATATATCTGCAGCCTGTTGGCAGGGGCGTCACATACTCTGCCATGTTCGTGTGTGGTAGGGAGATGACCCTGGGGAGCCGCATCATGCCGCCCCATCTATAGAGCTTGCCACGATCTTGGTCCAGTTGTCAGGATTGCTCCTGCCAGGAGAAAGGCAGGCCAGAAAGGACGGGAGCAGCCTGCAGTGCAGGGCTCTGTCCATACGTGATACTGGCAGGCAGCAAAAACCAAGAGATCGGTGTGTGATTCGTAATGGCTGTTTGTGTGTGAATGAGTGTGCTTGGGAGATGCATGAGGCGTCCAGCGAGTTGGCAGGTGAGCGTTCAGCTGTAGACCGGAGGGGTCGCTTGCACTGCAGGGAAAGCTCCCCAGCCCTCCCTGGGTGGGCAAGTCTCTTCAGGTGGCAGCAGCGGAAAGGAAAGCAGCTGAGTATGACTGCAGACAATGTCTTCGTTACTGCTTCATGGGATGTCCAAGTAGAGGTGGCCCCCCCTTTCCTCTGCCTCTTCTTTTCTCATGCTCTTTGGTCATTGTGTCCTTGATACTAATGGTACAGTGTGAGTGTCCCAATCCTTCCTGCCCTGTGGGACACCTAGGAGGTGGGGGAGGGGCGAGTAAGCCTTAAGACAGCAAGGCGGGTTCCTTTTCGGAACTGTTCCCTCATGTGAGACCTCATAAGCAGGTTGCTTGGATGTTCTGTATTCCCATGCTGGGTCCTGGCAGCAGCATTTGTTACTGAGTGGCAAAAATACTAGGGAGTACTTGTCCTCTGGAGTCCTTGTTGTCAATCATCCTGGTGCCCAGTGAAGGCTGGGGGTTGCTTACCTTGTGCGGCGGGCGCTGTTCCATGGCTCTGCCGCACAGGCATTAGGAGGTGGCTCTGTGTTTGGTTGCATGTTCCTGGCCGTGGTATTGGGATCCAAGAATAAAACTCGTTTGCATCACCGGACGTACATCTGTGGTTGAGTGCTGTGGTCAGCAAGTGGTAGGAGGTGAGTGATGCAGGAGGCTTACCCAGTGGGAAGAAGGTCTGCTTGTACTCTGCAAAGGCAGCCCTGCCCCGGCCCAGGTGCACGCCCCGTGCAGGCATTCGGTGCATCTCTACCACTGTGGCAGACACCAGAGACCAGAAGACACCCGGCGGCTGCACCTGAGAGGCACTGCCCTAGCAAAGGTGACACCCTCCTAACCATCCCGGTGTTCTGCTGTGGAGGCGCCTGTTCTCTCACTTTAATTTCATTTGCTCGCTGGCCCCCTAACCCCCAAGTTAACCCCGCTGTGCTGCTTCTGGCATCGCTGAGCTTCTGACCTGGCCTGTGGTGTTGGCACCGCACTGAACTCTTCTCTAACCTTTGTCAGTTTAATTTACTAAGTTGAATTAACCTTGGATTCTTGTGTCTTCAAAATTTGACCTATTTTTTTTCTTTTTATCTATTTCTTTCTCTGTTTCTGTCTCTGCCTTCTCTTTCCTCCCCCTCCCCCTCCCTGTGTCTGTTGTCACACTTGTCACCTTGGACGCCACTGGGACATTCCCACCACCACATTAATTTTTAAACAACCACATTTTCTGTGGGGACCCGCTGCTTGGCACCCCCAGCCACCCTGGGAGGCAGTTCTGCGTCCTACACTTTTGTTTCATTGCTTTTCTCTGCAGTGACTCTTCTCCTGCTCTGTTAGACACCTGAACACAAAAATTAAATTTGCTTTAAAGCTCAATTTCCATAAAAATGATCAGCGCCCCCCCCCCTTGGAAGTACCCGTCAGAACCACGTTGGCCCTGCCACGGCCACTGCGTGAGCATTCTATGTGCAAAAGGAAGGTTTTGCAATCAGAAAAAGCTTTACCTCCTGGCACCTTGCCATTCACACATCCTTCTGTGCCACTTCATAAGGAATTTGCCCCCTTTGTGATGGCAGTAAAAAAAATGACGGCTCTTAAAATATTATTTTTAAAAATGAGCATTATGCTAGGTTCACAGAGAATTCTTGGCCTGTCTGCTACTTGTTGCGCTGTCTGTAGCAGAGGACAAATTCCAGGCACCTTCTAAAGCTTGCCTCAGATGACTGAGATCACCACGTGCCCCCTCATGCTAATGTTGTCCCCCTCCTGGGCCCTTCAGTAAGTAGTTGGCTTTGCTTGCATTTAAGTATTTAAGTGCCTGTATCGAAAGAGCCGCAGATGGCGACTCATTGTGTCCTCTGCTGGTGGATAAATTTTGTTCCCTGTTGCCCGGTGGTATTACCAGCGATCTCTTTGAACAAGGCCAAACTGTGATGTGCCCAACACATCAGCTTGGAAAGGTGCTTGTCTCCGAGTGGAGGTGATTCTCCTGCCACACAGCAGTGTGCTGCAGGTCAACACGGAGCCTCAGAGTCCTGGGGACTGTGGCCCAACCATGACCCACCTTGGCACCATAAGCATCCCTGTACCAGACAGGTTGGACGCATCCACCGTGAGCCACACACAAGTCCCTGGCCTCTTCTGCTCAGAAGTACAGAAGGGGAGTGCCAGGCCATCCCGCATCACCTAGCCCCAGAGTGTTAAGAAATCTGGCAGGTCAGCCTGTCAGCTCTTCCAAAATGCCCAACCTCCCAGCTAGTGAGAGGGTTCAGGGACACTTTTAATGCACTTGTGAAAAGCCGGGTGCTCCTGTATACTGCCTTGCAGTGCATCCTGGAGAGGGCGAAGTGGGTCTGGTAGATGGGACTGTGTGCAGACCCAGGGCTGACCCCTGTCAGCCTGTGTGCGTGGGGACAGACCTTCTACCAAATAAAAACTCCCTCCCCCGTTATGGTCATTTATCATTCTACCTATTGCTTCTCCGAACATCTCCATGCAAGTTTGATTTTCATTCTTTTTGTCCTCTATGTATATTTTTTCATTGTTACTTTTTAATGTTAAAAGACTAGCTTCTCCTTGAGGAATTTACCAGACTCAAAGCTGTGGCCTGAGAGCAGAGTCACCCACATTGGCACCCACACTGTGCCCTGCATTCAGTACAGAGGGCCTGAGTTGCCCATCAGCTCAGGTGGGCAGTGTCTGACCCCATACCCCCTGCCCCAGAGCCCTGATGCAGTGTCCCACCAGGACAGTGACAAGGAAGTCTCTGGAGCACAGGGAAGAGCCATAGAGAGAGGGGTCCAGTGCCCATGGAGCCTAGCATGAGAACCACAAGTTGTGGAGAGCTGCGAGGAGGGCAGTTCTCCTGGCTGTCCTGATCGCCCTGGAGGAGTTCTATGTACTGACCCCTTGGGAGCTCAAAGACCGGCTCTGCAGGGTCCTAAACCCACCCACAGGAGAGCAATGCTGCATTTCTGAGGGATCTTTGGAAATTCTATCCCTGCATGCAAAGAGGCTGGAGATGGCCTTGGGCCCTTGGGGCATCCTGGGGCCAGGCAGCCCTCAGCTGGGAAAGCCTGGGGGTCTTCACAGCAGGTTGCCAGCCTGGCCTGAGGCAGTTTGCCCTTCTGGAGACAGTATTAGTGTGGTGGGCTCTCTGGACCCCAAGATCCTGGTGCAGCTGCAGCCCCCATGCACACCAGGATTCCTTAAGAGCGCCCTCCACGAGCCCTGTGGGAGTGAGCAGCCCTCCTCTCCTGTCCACCTTGCCTTTACGCTGTGCTAGCTCTGGTCTCATGCCACATGCCCTGGGGGGTCTCTGCTCATATTTGGAATATTTATACAGCAGATTTGAATCACGTTTTTCTACTAATAAGAACGCTAACATTGTTGTGTAGATAATCAGCGAGGCCTTTACGACGTTTACACCTTTGCATTATTAAAGGATATAACCGTTCATGTGAACTCGCCAGCGTGTTTTGATTTTATTTGACAGTTGTATGTGCAACACAGTGTCAACCGAGCTCTTTCCACCTCTCCAGTACCTGATAACCAATTACCTAGCAAGGTTGGAGTTCTAGCCAAACAAAATTCTTGCCCTTTCTCATGAGAGGCAGTATGTGTTTTCCAGCCATCCTAAGAGGTGTTATGGGTCACCGTGGCCTTGGAATACACAACAGACAGAGGAAGGGAAGGATGCCTTTGCAGAGTTGAGGTGGTGGTGGCTTGGGAGCAGGGTATGTTCTGAGCCACCAGATGCACATCTCTGTAGCAAGATCTTCTGATCACCTAAAAACCTTTACTTCTCAAAGAGGCTGTCCAGGATCTGGTGGTACAGAAAAACTCAGAGAAGGTTCTTTTTGGAAGACTATATTTTGTTTGCAACTACACTTAGACACGTCTTGCAAGCCCCTGAGGCCAGCTGTCTGTGTAGTCATTTCCAGGAAATGATAAACAGACATGGAAGCGATGTGGGCAAACCAGCTTCATGCTGAGTGAACCACGCTGAGAATCATCACAGTCTTAGGAGTCGGAGAGGGAACTTTGGTTCCCAGGTCCCAGGCATCTGTGAAGGCTGAGACCCATACTTCCAGTCCAAGGCACAAGAAAGCAGGCATATGTGAGTGGCAGTGTGGGGGCAGGCCATCCCCTACTTGAGTGCCAACCTTGCTGAAGCCAGGAGCCACAGGAGGTGGAAGCTCCTCCCCCATAATCTCACTGCTCAAAGCAGCTCTGATCTCCAAGGCTATGAAGGAACTACTCCCCGGAAAGCTCCTTTGCATGCAAGGTGTTTGGGTGAGTCAGTTAAGGTAATAGGGGAGAGAGAGAATGGCAAAGACAGAGCCCTGAAGATTTGTTTATTTTTCCCTTTTATGGAATGTTTCATGACCTTTGTCCCAGTAGCTTTCCTGGACTAAATAATTCCTCTCAATCAAGAGGGAGTGATGCTGACCTGCCTTGAATACCCTTGCACCTGTACTGTGCGCTCTCCTTGGTTTACAGCTTCTTTCTATCAAGGTGGCCAGAATCCTCCCCATGGTGTGAGTAGCACCTCCCTTCCTCTAGAAGTCTTGATGCTTAGCGGTGTTGGGTTCAGTGGTTCCTTTCTTTTAGGAGAGTCTTTGCTTTCTCTCAGTCTATCATGAACATCAAGCTAAGTGTTTTATCAGATGGTCGGGTGAGAGGCCCTCTTTCTCCTTGGTGAGGGATCATGGGTATAATCAGCTGTGACTGACAGAGGGGATGAAAACCTAGAAAGAGTAGACCTCACATGTAGGATCTGGAGTATGTGCTCAAATCCCAATTCCTGACCTTCACCCACAGTTAAAGGTATTGAGTTTTCACAAAAAAAA